TAAAGTGAAGGGTGTTGTGGTCGTAAATATGACTACAACATGGATGCTGGAGAGAAATCAGTTCAATAAAAAAATAAGTGGAATCTTCATTTGTCTCAGCAATGTAGACATTTGTTTTTTTCACATAGTGCTAATGTTTCTCCATGGAATAAAAATCACATCAGCACATACAAAATAATGTGAAAAACTAGTAAATTAGGCATGGTTATAAGTTTGTGTCATTCTTTACAATGTATATAATGTATCTTTGAATTGTTCTTTTTTGAATGTATCTCATGATGAGAGGCAAATGCGTTAGCAAACTTTTTTTCCCAGGACAAATCCCAAATTGACAAATTCAAAATTTCATTTCAAGGTTGAAATTTATGCCACACTCCAAGTGCAAATAATCCACCAATGCACTGATCTAGAAATTCTTCCCCTTTGGCATTTTAATATGTGTAATCATGCTGTACAGCATTTCAGGAAAATTTCAGGTACAATATGGATGTAGGCTTTTCTGTGACAGTATTATTTGCTTTCTGTGCTTGGTTTTTATAGTTTTTCAATTGTTAGAAAGGTACATATGATCTTTATTTGCAACATTAAAAAAATTCATTTTCACCTGACATGTTTCCTTCAGTATGTGTTTCTCTGAATGTGAAGCTTTTTTATCTTTTTTTTCATCAGTGCTACTTTGATATAACACTTTAAAAGCATCCTGGTCTTACATAAGATGCAGCAACAACTTATTATGGTTATGGCTGATGGTCTTTATTTTTCATATAGAATATTCAATTGTCTTCTGGGTTCACAGAATGGATTAAATTCTTCCCCATATATTGAAGTCTATACGGAAAAATCAAATCCAGTCAAAAAAATTTTTTCTGTAACCAATCAAATGTTTTACCTGATGGTCAAAACATTATATTATATGCAAATGATAACACTCATGTAAACAAAATATGCATAAACCACCTTTTCATCATAAATGGTTTGAAGTTTGTGTCATATTTTGCAACTATCTGCTGTTTGAATTGTTCTTCCTCACTTGAGGGTATATAGAATACATTATATCCATCTTTCAGACATGACCATTACATGCACATATGAAAATACAGTTTTACAGAATGAAGGAAATGATGCACAGAATCAGAAAAGTCTTGGATGTTTATTATATGCCACAATGATTCCAACAAAACATAATATCAAGCCAGTCACACACCAAAAAATAAAACAGATGGAAACACATGTACAAGAAAACAGGTCCTAATACTGCAAAAAACAGAAGCAAAACAATATAAGGAGGAAGCCATTTGTGCACACCTACACCAACTGGCCAGAGTCCCCACATATCAAGTGGCACACTTTGCAGGCTTGAGTCCAAAACAGGGCCCAGGCAATGCACAGCCACAAAATATATTCACTCATGCTTCAGACTTGAAAAAAACAAACAAATTTTTAAAAAGGGAGGATGATGGAATGTCTGACAACCTTCATCACAGGGTGACGTTACCTCCCATCAGCAGAAAAAATATAAGGCACTTTTGTGAAGCCAGCACATAGAGCCTCCATAGTTTTCTCCATTATTTTTTTTAGCACCAGCTCTCAGCAGAAAAATGATATGCTTCCATTTTTTTCTGTCCTGGCTCTTTGAAGTGGAGGAAACAGGCTCTTGGCCTTTTCCCTCCCCCACTTCTTTTTGCAGCAAGCACATTGACTATGAATGTAAACACTCATCCTGGGTGGCAGGCCAATCAAGCCAGAGCCTTTAGCAAGGGAACTTGAGGTTTCTTTTGTTGTCTATGTTACATCAGGGCAGATGAGGCAGGGACAAGTCCAGAGTGTGACTCATGTCTTCTTCTGGGTCCTGGTGTCTGGTTATGGACCCAATGGGTGGCAACTTGTTTCCTGCAGCAGGATAAAAGACAGTAATCAGAATCCTGCACCACAAAAAAAAGACACCATGATGGAAACTCACATTGGAAAAATGAGGAAGAAAAAGAGGAAAAAAATTTGTGTACAACACTGAAGGGAGAAACAAGGGACTCTAGAAGGCCTCAGTGGACTGCAGTCAGAGTTTTGTGTGTGTTTGAGAGAGATAAGGCTTGGTTAAGCAGGAAACACCCCAAATGTGCATGTTGTTGATAAGACTTGCTGGGGAGGGCATCCTTATCAGGCAATGTTTGAGAGAAAGATATGTCTGTGCTCTTTCACTGCCTATTTTTTCCTATATTTCCCAGAACTGTTACACTAAACTCAAGAACTTCCATAATATGCATGAATCACCAGCACAAGTTCCAAAAAACCACACTTTTTCCATCCATCACCATAAAAATCAAAATGACCAACTTTAGAATACCATTCACTGTGTACTTGAAGTTCATAATTTTCATTGTCTCTTAATCAGGAAAGTTCAATGACCCAGGACATAGTATAAAAGATTTTGATTTTGTCTTTCTCAAATAGTTTGATATTTATAGAAAAAATTTTGATAAGACTTATTGGGGAGGGCATTCTTATCAGGTAAAGCTTGAGGAAAAGAGATGTCTTAACTTTTTTCACCACCTATTTTTTTTATTTTTCTAGACCTGTTACAATAAGCTCAACAACTTGCAGGAATCACCAGCACAACTTCATAAAGCTGTCCATCCATTTACAGAAACACCATATCACACTAATTTTAGAGTACTTTCACTGTGTACTTGAATTCCAGGATTTCATGACCTTTTCAGGAGAGTTCAATGACCCAAAACACAGTTTGAATATCTTGATTTTGTACTTTTTTTCTAAACAGAAACCCAAAGGAATGTGAAAGGGTTGAAAGAAGCAATTTGTATTCCATTTAAACCAAAAAAAGGTTGAGGGAACTGCAGGAGGTTATTTATTAATTTGTTTCATTCCTTTAATTGAGTCCTCTTTTCCAAAAAATACTGTTTCTTTTAAGATTTTTAAAATTCCTTTGAACCATCATCATTTCAATACAGTTTTAGGAATGTGATTTGGTTGATGGAATGTTTAGCCAGGAAATATTGAGGTCCCTCTGTCTCTGGTATGACATGAACTAATGTACAGTACTTGACAAACCTTCATTGAGGAACCTTTTTTGTGGTGGCAGGAACTCCACAGATTTCTTCCCCATGGTAGTTTTCTGGGAACCTGAGCTAGGAGAACAACTCCCACTTCCTCTTGGTTTCCTCTTCCTTGTCTAGGCAAGAAGAAAAATAAAGATGCATTCAGTGGGCTGTGACTGGCAACTTGAGTCATGCATGAGTTCATTTCACAAGAATTTAAAAAAAAACAGGTTTCAAGAAAAAGTTTATAAAGCTTAACATCATGGCCCTCACTTGTATATTGTCTTTGCGCATGTTTTTTGGTCTGTTGATCCCATGAAGCTTGAAGTAGAGTCCACAGGCATTGCAAACTGGGTCCCCTGAGCTGTTTCTCCTCCAGAGGGCAGTAGCAGTTGTTGAGCAGTTTGTACATACAAGGCCAACCCTTCTTGAAGCACTCTGAAATACCGAAATTAACAGGATGATAACTTGATGCCTCATGATTTATATTCCAAAGCAGGTTAATATATAACAACTAATGATCTAAATGCATTGTTTACCCACAACCACACAAATTTACCCACACATTTGCATCAGCAAATCACTACATACAAGAAATGACAACTACAAGACAATGGTCAGCTTGTGTGGGTGAGTTGAACATATTCAAACAAATCACATAAATATGACAGGAACACCAGAAGAAGCACACACAAATATTATGCAAAAAGCCAGAACCCCCACAATTGTACCCTTCACAGCACTATAGTCAACTTGGGTGGGTGAGTAGAACAGGTGCAAAAAGTTCAAAGAAAACATGTTGCTATCTCTGTGACTATACCAAAGTGAGGCTATGAATACTTTTTGGTTAGTGTAATTAGTATTTTTCTTTTGGTGTGTCAAACACAATTTTCCCCCTTTTTCATCCATGCATTTCTGAGTGAAAAAGTTGCATTCAAGGGTTGCCAACCATGCGTTTGTTGGAGGCAGCTTTTGAGAAGTCAGCCACAAAGGTCCTGTGGGCCACCACAGGCTTGTTGGCAAAGCCTGCAGGAGATGTTGGGGTATATGAGCACTGAGTCCTGTCATCCCTGGAGTAGTCTGCATCACTGCTGCAACTGTAACCATCCACTGGTGTGCCAGGGGGAGATGATGTGTTGCCTGCTGGAAAAGCTTCCAATGTTTTTGGTATGCCATATGCAAACAGTCATGCATATACAGTACACTCTTTAACAGTCCTGATTAGAAATAACAGGTGTTCCTAATAAAAAAACATTATTCTTGCTTATGAAAAATTTATTAATCTGCTGGAGAAGCTACCAATGGTTTTTTTATTCCTATATACAGACATACACACCCTCTTATAACAGTCCTCAGTTATTGGAAGAACAGGTGTCCCTCAAATAAATTATTGCTTATAAATAGTTTACTAATCTTCTAGAAAAGTTAACATCGATTTTTAAATCCTGTATATTTAGTCATACATGCACCTCTATAAAAGTCTTCAGTTGAAAGAACAGGTGACCTCACAGAAATTCTTGCTTATAAATAATAAATGATCTGCTAGAAGAGCTACCAATGTTTTCTAAATATATACAGTCATACATGCACATCTACAGTCCTCAGTTGGAAGAACAGGTGTTCCTCTAAAAATTCTTGCTTACAAATAATTCACTCATTTGCTGGAAAAAATATAAATGGCTTTTTTTTAATGCTATATACAGTATAGTAAATACACTCTTATAGCAGCCCTCATTTGGAAGAACAGGTGTCCCTCAAAGAAATCCTTGCTTATGAATAATTTACTCATCTGCTAGAAAAGCTACCAAGTGTTTTTTCTAAATGCTACATGAAGTATAGTACATACACTCTTATAACAGTCCTCAGTTGAAAGAACAGGGTGTCCCTCACAAAACCTTTTTGTTCATTAATAATGTACTCATACAGTGACACATTTCATGGATGAAGGAATGTCTTTTGGTTTTTTGTACATGATCATTATACCATAATGCATAATAAACTTTTTCTCACTGGTGAAGGACTGAAACACACTCAAGCCAATGGTACAGCACAACATGGAATATCCAGGCATGAAAAGCAGACACCAATAATAAATGAGCTACATACCCAAAAGTTGCAAAGCCACAACAAAAATAAGATTGATGATATAATGACAGCATGAAGCATCAGTGAATTGGTGCAAGAAAAAAATAAATGAAGGTACCATGCGCCTTGGGTGCCTCACCAGAGGCCTGTTGACACCATTGATCTTCACATAAAGCCCACATGCATTGCACAAATAGTGTCCAGTTGCATCCCTTCTCCAGAGTGGTGTAGAGATGGCGCCACAGTTCACACATTCCCTGTTCATGTCTGAAGAACATTCTCCTTTGGCTTTACTTTCATTAATCCATAATCTAACAATGAATTATATCTTATTTCTGCTTTATGTTGAAAGAAATGAAAGTTAGCTTTGAAGTATATTTGTGCACCCTTTAAATGACCTCGTTGAACAATTGTCAGCTTATTTTTTAAAGATTTTTTGGCCTTAGAAATTCCTCTTTTTTACTCTTTCCATCTGTTTTGAAGTCTTGATCTTCAGAATCTCTTCAGTTTACCCAAAAGTACTTGAGATATCAGTTTCAGATTTAAAAAAATTCAATTTAGTCGAATTTCTCAAGCAAATTTGAATTTTTATCTTTAAATGAAGGTGCTCCCAAATTTATAATTTTACCTCTGGATGAGGATTTCAAAAGAAAATAATGGTGGAATCATTTCAATTTTTAAATTCAGTCTATGCTTTGTATAATTTTTATTTTAATGAAAATTCATTTTAATGAAAGTTTAGCTTCGCAAAAAAAAGAGTTTATTTTTTTAAAGTTCAGAAGAGAAGCGTATGGGATTTTCAAAAAATGAAAATCACTGTCGAAATTTGAAGAAGGTTATCTAATTTTCCAAGAATATTTTTACAATCATCTCCTCTACGATGAACTTTTGAATTATATACACAGTGATTCGAAATTTCGAACGTTTTTTGATCTTCAGACTTTAATAAAAATAAATACTGTATTGCAAAACTATTTTTCACCCCAATTTTCCATTTGAAAGTATAAAATTCAAGTTTTTTTCCACTCGGTTGAAAATCATGCTCAGCAAAATTAAATTGAGTTTTTCGAAGTTCGAAACGAAGTTCATGGAAATATCGAGAGAATAAGTGACTCTCTCCGATTTTGAAGAAAGTTTCCGAATTCTAGAAGAAATCTTTTCCAATTCATTCCTTGTTTAATCTTGGAATACCCATGCTTCTAAATTTTAAAATGCCCTATTTCATCTTCACCAGACGTTTCCAAAAAATAATTGCTAAAATTGTTTCAATTTCTTCGATTCATGGTCATATTTTTGTAGGCTCAAAAGGTTTAAACATTCGTTAAAAAAAATACTGAGATTCTTGAAATTAAAAAGAGTTCCCCAAAAGTTGAAAGAATTGCATGTAATTATCAGTAAATCAAAAAAATAAATATTGGCGGTTTATTACACTCTGTATTTGAGTTTTGTTGGATTGGAGGGGGAGGGGGAGAAACAATTTCATGATCCTTAAAATTAAAAAGAGCTCCTCAAAATGTGAAAGAAAAATTGCATTGATTTATAAGTAAATAAAAAATGAACATTTGTTTATTACACCCTGTATTTGAATTTTGTTGGATTGGGGAGGGGGGGGAGGGGAAGAAAAATTTCATGAGCCTTAAAATTAAAAAAGTTCCCTAAAAGTTGAGAGAAAAAGTGCATTGAACTATCCGTAAATAACAAAAAGAAATACTGGTTTATTACACCCTGTATTTGAATTTTATTGGATTGGAGGGAGAGGGGAAAAATTTCATGAGCCTTAAAATTAAAAAGAGCTCCCCAAAAGTTGAGAGAAAAAGTGCATTCAATTATAAGTATATCAAAAAATTATATTTCTTTATTACACCCTGTATTTGAATTTTGTTGGATTGGAGGGGGAGGGGAAGAAAAATTTCCGGTTGGTTTTTTGCTGCGCGTGTCGATTCATTTCCTGCCTCCCAAGCTTTTTCTTCCCCACACAAAAAAACAAAATAGAAAAAATACTTTATACATATAATGTATTTATATTTATTTATTTTCGTTGTTGCTTTTAGAAAACACCGTAAAAAAAAGAAAAGTCGTGGGCAGACAATGAAACACCGTGTGTCGCACATGTGCGAACGTTAGATCCGGACCCCGGATCCCGAAAATTCACCAACAATTTCTTCTTTTTTTCAAAAAAAATGAGAGAAGGAGGGTAAAAATTTGGGGACTTGTCAAACATCCAAGTTTATTTTTCCCCCGCACAGTTACCGCAGGGGAAAAAATTCGGTTCCTGCTTTTCAAGGCTTTCTTTTTTCCGGGACATGAAGCGAAAATATTTTCCTTGTATTTCCAAATTTTTTTAAAATAACCACAAAAAAGCATCAGCTGCTGGAAGCTTTTCAGTCAATTACGGAAAACATGCAAATTTCCCAACACGTGCGCATTAAAAATTAGTTGCAAGCAACAACAAAAAAAGGCATTAGAAAATAAACCAAATTTTGTTAGTAAAGCAAATATTAATTGAAGAAATTAGCGGCCATTTCAAAGGGATCAGGATAAATGAGCAAAAACAGTTTCCAATGCATGGAAAATAAAATGGAGATTTCTAAACATCAAGTTATGCGTTTTTTTCCTGAATAAGGAGAAGAGGAAATGGGTGAGAACAGGTTTTATTTTTTATTTTTTCAATCTTGTACTTGAGGAAAGAGTTTATGTGAACTGCCTTTTAAAACAAGGGAAATGAAGGCAGGAATTTCCTCAATATTTTTAAATGAGAACTGCTTGAATATATTTTGCTCAAGAATATTTTACAACAATGAGTTTTCCTTTTTTAAATAGCCTTTATAGAGGGTTACATACATACTTGATAAAATATTTGAGCAACAAATTTTTTTTTTCAAAGATGTCTTGACTAAATTTGAAAATTTGGTGGTATTTTTGAACACAAATATAAGGAAAACACAAGCATACTCAGTACTATCCATATTCTCATGAAAAAAAAGCACATTTTGAATGCATTTCAAGTAAATTTATGGAAATGCCAAGAAATTTTAATTCATTATTAGGAAGGATATGCAATTTTTTATATATTCCAGAATACAGTACTGTATTTCAAAATCCTAATTCCCTTCTTTTAAAAGTTATCTTGAATTTCAGAGAGTTTCTTTGAATCTTACAAAAGAATAAAATGCAATACAAAAGATATAATAACATAAATTATGTAAGTGGTGATTTCAACCATTATAACATGAGAAATGGTAATACAGTATGTTCTCCATATTTATTGATTTCCTTAAAATCTTTCCTGCTGAAATTTTGAAGAACAGGGAAAGTTTAATTTCAAAACATGTTCTTGGGCCACAATTCGGAGTGAAAAAAATTTAATTGTTTCAGGCTATGATGACACATTAGAAAATGACCTTCAAAAGAAAATCCAAATTATTATCATTTTCAATAAAATGCCTCCATTTAATATTTTCCCTTATTTAGTAGCAACAACAAAGTGAGTGAATAAGTGTGACAAAATCTAAAGAAGCATATTGTTAGTATAGGCAAAATGTTAGTAGACACATTTCTGAACATAAGGAAGCAGAAAGTAATCAAAACATGTGTAAATACCTTCTCTTTATTGTCATCCTAAAATGTATAAGTCTGGTTTGCTTCAGAATGACTGCAGAATATTATTATAAACTCCTCAGAATTACCACCAAATACTGAAGTGGATTTTTACATTTGATGACCTGAAGTCTAACACAATATTTCAACATAGGTTTTAAAACTGAGTGCCTTTGCTTCACCTCAGACTTTCCACTCATCTCTGAACCAGTGTTGATGAAATATGTTGCCTTTTATATGCATAATTAACATTTTATAAAATAGACACAAAAGTATTTCTATTGAACTGTTTCCAGAAAGAAAAGAAAAGAAAAAACTCACCATGACTTCCAGCACTGCTGGTGTAAATTGCAGAGGCCTTGATTGCCTGTACATAAGGATGAGGACTCCCAGGGTTGAAACTGATCTTGTCCCAGGGGTTGGGTGAGCCACTGGGTTCAAAGCCCATGTGGGCAGGGGACTGTGGACCCCCAAAGGCAAAGCTGAGGGGCTCTTGCTGTGAGGATGTGGATGAGGGTGTGTATGAGTCATGCTGATGACTCATACTGTAGTGATTGGGCTCTTGGTGCTGGTGCTGGTCTTCTTGGTACTTGATGGACAAGTTGGTGGGTGGTGGGGTTAGAGAACTTGGACTAGCCCTTCCTTCTCCACCTTTGAAGGCCAAGAAACATAAATCCCAGTTTTATATTTTTAATGCATTCCTGGCTTATTATTTCTTGAACTTGATGAATGGAGAAAAACCTCTTCAGGGGAAGTTTTATCCAAAAATAATGATATGATCATTACAAGTGTTTCAAAGAAAGTTCATCCATTTTTAGTGAAATTGTGGGGCAAGCTTTGAGGAAATTCAACAGAACACATTTAAAGTACAAGAGTAATAAATTCAGCTCTATATTTGAATTCACTCTTGGCTTGATTTTGAATCAATTAAATTGAGAGAAATCTCTGAATAAAGTTCATCCAAAAAAATGATATGATCACCACAAGTTTTCCAAAGAAAGTTTTTCCATTTTTATTATGTAAGTGAAATTGTGGGGCAAGCTTTGAGGAAATACAACAGAACAACTTTAAAGTCCTAGAAAAATAAATTCAGCTTCACATTTGAATTCATTCTTGGCTTGTTTTTTTAATAAATTAAATTATTTAGAGAAATCTCTGAGTAAAGTTCATCCAAAAATTATTCCATTTAGGATCATTTTAAGATTGAAATAAAGAAATTTCTTACATTCCTGGGATATAAGTGAAAGTCTTGGGCAAGGTTTAAAAAAATCTAACACAACAATGGATGATTTTGCAGTTTTATTTTCAAAAGTATTCTATGTATTTTTCATATATTCCTTGGTAAGTTTTCTTAATGGTGAGTCATCTTAGGAGTAACTCACTGAAGTGAATTTTACTTCGTGAAGAGTTTTCTTAGTACAGTCCTGAGTTAACTTTGTTGAGAGAAAAAATATTGCAGTCACAATTCTTACTTTAGAGGTACAGTACTTAATTTTTAAGTTATCTTGGGGGTGTGTGAAATTATTAGTGCTTTCTTAAAATTTAACTTTAAAAAAATTCATTTCAGCATTAAAATGCCACCAAAGGAAGTTCGATTTATATTCCTAGACTAGGCAACTTTCTACCCATTTTTCAGAACTCCCTGAAAACATGAGTGGGATGTTTATTATGTCAGAAAATATTTTTGTGTGGGACATTCTAAAAAAATTTGGGATGAATTTTCATCATGAAGAAATTAGCGCCAAAACATTCTCCAAGAGTTTTCCACAACAAAATTTAGGAGAAAATCTGGTCTTCAGGCATGAAAAGCTGAACCAAAAACCCCCTCAGGATATATTCAAGCAAAAAGATTAAACACCACCCCCCCCCTGTAGGCAAAATTTAGCAAGTACTTGAACACCTGCTGAACAGGTGCCAAAAATTGACCCAAACTGGCTCCAGAACCTTCAGCCCCTTTTTTCATGGAGGGAAAAAAAGCGAGGATATTCGTTTCCAGGGGCTTCTCCTAACTTTTTAAAATGTATCCCAATCAGAAAATTGAAATCCTCGATTTTTTTTAAACGCACGCAATCAATCTTTGTGCCAATTTTCATCAAATTTATCAGTATTTGACAGGATTTTTTTATTAATTTCTGTGGGCGAATTTCTCGCCAGCAAAAAATATTTTGCCACTCATGAAATTTTGTGGTGAGCCTTTTTTCTCCCGAATTTCCCACCTCATAAAAGGGAGCCCCGGAATAATCGACAGCAGCGTCGACGTCGAAAATTTACCAACAGGCCTTGTAAAAAAAAAAAAGAATAACAATAAGAAAGAACTGCCTTTTCTTCACATGGATCGCAGGAGCTGGGGGAGGGTTTTTTTCTCTTATTTTTGCAAAAGAATTCCATATATATATTTTTTTTTCTCTCTTCCTCTCACCTGCTTCAGAGTAGCTGAAGTTTGCTTCAACAGCAGCAGCAGTTTCTGCTTCAGTTTGCCTGAGGAAAAGGAGGGTGGAAAAACAGAATGGAAGGACAGTTCTGTCAGTCAGTTTGCCCACTTTGAAAAACCCCATTAGAAATGGGCATCTTTTTCCTTATTCACAAATTCATATGAAACATGATTGAAAACTTGGTAAAAAGCAAATAAATACAATAGTTTGCACATAAATAAACAGCAATGACTCAACATTTTCATTATTTCAGAGCAAATTCACTTAGAATTATGGGTAACTTATTCAGTTTAACCCATCAATTCAAATTATTTTCAGTTAATTAAGGTAAAAATGGGTTTTGTTGATTTAGTTTGCATTAATATTATTGTCCAAGATAGATTTAATTAGTAAACATTGAGTTGAAATTTGAATACACTAAGTTTCAGTCTGATTTGGTCAGTTATTAAGTTAAAACCATCAAGTAAAATTATCTTTAGTTTGTTTAGGCAACAATAGGTTTTGTTAATATAGTGTATACTAATATGATTGTCCAAGGTAGATTAGATTCTGAAAAATCAAGTGGTAATTTCAGTAGTCAAGCTAAAACCATCAAGTGAAATAATCTTGAGTTAGTTTAGGTAAGAATAGATTTTGTGAATTTAGTTTATAATAATATGATTGTCCAAGGCAGAATAAATAATGAAATATTGAGTTGGAATTTCAATGGGTTTGAATCTGATTTGGCCAGTCATTAAGTTAAATCCATCAAGCAAAGGTATTTCAGATAGTTTAGGCAAGCATTGGTTTTGTTGAGTCAATTTATATGATTGTCCAAGATAGATAAGATTATGAAATATTGAATGAGAATTTCAATTGGTTGTGTAAGTTTGCAGATTCAGGATTTTGTGCATTTACTCTCTTTGATACTTGCTTTTGTAAGATATTGTACTTTTATTTCAATTTTGTGTTAGGAGTGACATTTAAAAGGATATACTCACTGGAGGTTAGTAGTGTACTCATGGCCAGGTTCAGAGGTGTGGTGGACAGCCACAGGGGCCATGTCCACCAGGTGGCCCACAGTGAGGTCCTGAGGTAGTGCCCCCACTAGACTGGGGGTGGCAAAGTACTCAAAGGTGGTAGGACTGTGGTCTGGGGTCAGGATGCCCTCAGGGGTGATGGCTTCATACAGACCCTGGCTGTCATGCAAGTCTGGGTGTGCAAACCCTGAGGCTGTCCTTGCTGACACTGTTCTCACTTCATATGGGTCCTGTGCATATGTAAATCAGCAAAATTCACACATGACATGGTTTTGTCCACTTTAACATTCAGTCTTGCACAATCTAAAAGAGTTTTATAAATTGGGAAACAATTAACTCTACAAAAGGATTCACAGCAATGCTTTTTAAAGGTTCCTACTTTTTAATCACCTGGTTTTGTCCATTCTACATTCAGTATTGGACAATCTACATGAGTTTTATAAATTGGGAAACAATTAACTTTACAAAAGGAATGACAGCAATGCTTTTTAAAGGTTCCTACTTTTTAATCACCTGGTTTTGTCCATTCTACATTCAGTATTGGACAATATCCACATATTCTGATAAGTTATGGGAAACAAAATTTAAAAGAATTGAAAGCAAGGCTTTTTAATGGTTCCAAGAGAAGAAAAGGGTTCTTTGGCTTCAAGTGAATCACTTTTTTGGCAATCCAACTGTATCTCAGTCACTATCAGAACAATCTTTAACTTTTTTGATTGAATTGATTTGTTCATTTTTAAATTTAATACCTTTTGTGAAAAGCATACTCTTTTGGGGAGGAAAAAGGACAGTGAAAAGCCACAAAATGGAGGCAACTGGTAGGATTCCAACTCCAGAAACTAGCAACTGGCACTGTCTTATCAGTTATCAGTCACAAGGATCCAAAAGATAATCTATAGCTCAGGGGGGAGTTGCATATCAGGGCCCTGCAACACCTAACCCCCTTATAGCATGTGAATGAGTGTGTGATATGACACATAAACACTCTTATCAAATAAAAAAGGTTTTTACTGCCTTTTATCTAACCTGATGTTGATGGTGATGATGGTGGTGGTGGTGAAAATGTGGGGTGGGCCTGTGGACAGGGTACAAAGGGGTGACCACTCCTGACCTCTGGTCAGTGACTGAGTAACTGCAGTACACTGTTTGCAGAGGCTGTAGTACTTGTTTCTCTTGCTCCAAATACCCTGATACAAAGTGGAGAAGAAGAAAAAAAAATCCCATCTCCAATGTCTCACACTTTGACATATGGTTGATTATAATAGGTGACCTCACCTGATGGGTCCATATCAGCATAATGCTTCTCCAGGATCTCTTTGTAGTATTCATTTGGGGTATCCTGGTAAACATCTTGTTCCTGGGATCTCATTATCAGAGGCAAGGGTGAGCAGGAAGCATGTGGAGACTGTCTGGAAAATAATTAATAACAGTGTTGGGGGTCTGAAGGGTTTCCTTCTTATTGGCACCATGGACTCTATACATCATTACTAAAAATTTTAAATTGGACACTACATTCATTTTCATCATTATATCAGATTTTTCATCTAATGTCAATCTTCAACTGCAATTACAACTTTAATTTGGTTCTTCTTCAATTTAAAGATTTAAAAGAGGCTTGACATTCCAAACACAACAAACATCATTATCCACAGACACATACAGAAATATGAAACCACGCTTCACGCTCTTTTAATTATTATTGAATCAAAGTCAATAATTCATGGTTTAAATGCATTAAATGAAATTGGATATTATGTATTTAATTTTTCCATATCTTCACATTTTTACATGAGTTTTTCACTTTAGTTGGATTATTAAAAGAGCTGCCAGGTGCACATAATTTTTTTGGTACTGCAAGAATGTATTGGGCAAGCGTTAAGTTTGAATTATTTGACCCTTCAACATTTTCTTTAATTTCACCATTTTTAATTTTGAAATCTTCAAAGTTTTCAAGCTTTAGAATTGGGGTCCTCCTCCATATTTTCAATTTTTTTCATCAGCAGGGAAAAAATTTGTATATACTGTACAGTACTAGTATTTGCATTAGTCTGAGGTCCTGTAATTGATATTTGGAAGAAGTGTTTACTCTTTTTAGAATAAATCCATTTATTAGCTTTGAAGTTTGATCAACTATATGCAGGGGATTAGAAATTAATCTCAAATTCACTCTTGAATTAATATGCTACAGTTTTGCAGTTTGTTTAGCAAAGGCTTTTATGCACAGAGACACACTTACTGATAAGAGTCCTCTTCAGGGGTGTCGTGGTCATGGGCCAGATGCTGGGCCAGGTGCTGCTGCAGGGCTGCAAACCCTGGCAGCTCCCCTTCTTTGCTTGGAGACCCTGGCGCTGGTGCTGCCCTCTCTTCATACATTCTCCTAACACCACTCACTACACACAGTTTTCTTTGTATCAATTCCTTTTTTCCTAAAATAAAAAAAAATTAAGAACCTTAGGGTCAATCAAATCAGTTCTGAACATTGTTTGCATGATTTCAATTTTCCCTGCTTGAATTCAGAATGAAGAGGCAAAAAAATGAATTTTTCATACATTCTTTCAACGCCACTCACTGTAGACAGTTTTCTTTGTATCAGTTTCTTTTCTCCTAAAATTAAATTCAAAAAGAGAATCCTGGGCCAGTCGAATTATTATTGCTTTGAATCATTTGTATGATATAGATTGTTCCCTAATTGAATTTGAGAGAAAAACTCGAGGAGGAAGTTGTTCATGAATTCTCCCAAAATCACTCACTATTATACACAGTTTTATTTGTATCAATTCCTTGTTGTCTTGAGTTGAATTTTTAAAAATATTTCTGGATTCACTCAAATCACTGCTGTAAATTTACATGCATGATTTAAAATTTTTCCTTGCTTGAAGTTAGTAGGAAAGAGCAAACAGGAAATTGTTCATTAATTCTCCCAACACTGGTACAATACACAGTTTTCTTTGAATCAATTCATTATCTTCTAAAACAAACTTCTGGGGTTATAATCAAATCATTGCTGTATATGAAATGTGAAATTTCATTTTTCCTTGCTTGAATTTGGGAGGAAAAGGCAGACAGGAAATTTTTTGTATACTCTCTGAACTCCACTTTGCATGCACCATTTTCTTTGTATCAATTCCTTTTTGCCTGAAGTTGAATTTTAAAAATATTTCTGGGGTCAATCAAATAATTGCTTTATATCATATGCATGATTGCAATTTTCCCAACTTGAATTTAGGAGGAAAATGAAACCATGAAATTGTTTGTACACTCTCCCAACTCAGCAATATTTTTTATCAATCCATTTTATCCAAAAAAATAATCCTTTAGTCAATGAAATCATTGCTGATGTACTATATATCATATGGATGATTTCCATTTTCTTTAATTGAATTTAAGAGGAAAACTCAGAGAGGAAGTTGTTGATGGATTCTCACCACACCACTCAATATGCACAGTTTTCTTTGCATCAATTCCTTTTTGCTTAAAATTGAACTTAAAACAATATTTCTGGAGTCAATTAAATCATTGCTGATGTACTATATATCATATGGATGATTTCCATTTTCTTTAATTGAATTCAGGAGGAAAACTCAGAGAGGAAGTTGTTCATGCATTCTCACCACACCACTGAATATGCACAGTTTTCTTTGTATCAATTCCTTCTTGCCTAAAATTGAATTTAAAACAATATTTCTGGAGTCAATTAAATCATTGCTTATGCACTGTATATCATAATCAGTATCTGATTTTCATCTTCCCTATACATGAATTTAGGAGGAAATGTACCATGAATTTTCCCAAAGCCACTCACTCTATATACACAGTTTTCTTTGCATCAATTCATTTTTGCCTGGATTTTAATTTTTAAAATGATTTCTGGGGGTCATATTCAATAAATCATTGCTGTATATCCTATGCATGATTTCAATTTTCCCTGCTTGAAATTTAGGAGGAAAAGGCAAACAGGAAATTGGTGGGAAATTTTGTGGTGGGGGGGAATGTTGGACCACCCAGAGAGAAAGAGAGAGAGAGAGACACACACACACACAAGATGGCGGCGACCGAGTGGGAGTGTGTATGTGTGGGGGAATGGGGGGGGGGAGAGAGAGAGAGAGAGAAATGGCCGGGATTCCCAGTGTTGACTGTTTCCTTGTTGCTAAGAATGACCGTGGGAGAGAAAAAAACCTGGAGCCGGGTTGTGGCTCTCAAACATACGGGCCAATCCCCCCCCTTTTTTTTTGCTTTTCTCTTTCCTTCAGTCTGTCACTTTTTTGCGGAATTTTTTTTATATATTTTTGTCTCTCTCTCTCTCTCTGTTTCTTTGATAATTAGAGCTTTGGTTCCGGGAACAAGATGGCGGCGAGAGAGAGAGAAAATGGAGGGAGGGGAGGGGGGATTTGATTGATGCTCCAGTGATTGATTCAATTACTGCCTGGGGGGACGTTTTTTCCCACGGGATCCATTCTCCTCTGGGTTTTTTTTTTTTTTTAAAGTATACATACTGTACTTTCTGTTGCATATATATATAAATATACACTATCAACAAAAAAGGGGGTATATCAAGTTGTTTTCAACCCTTTCCTAATTCATAAATACAAGAAAGAGAGAGACCAGGAGGGGGAAATTTGGCACACTGACACTTTGAAATAATATTGCAGCTCTTGGACAGGGATGAAAAATAAAATCATTCTTAGGACACATTTGTAATTAAAATATTCCTTCTAAAAAGATTATACTACACATGAATAATTTTTTGATAATTATTTTCTGTTCAACTTGATTCAATAGGAGATGAACTGGACAGAAACAAATTTAAAAGCTGTATCCTGGGGTTTAAAAACTCTGCATGGTATATTAAAAAAAGTTGAATCTGAAAAATATTCAATTTTAATCAGTTTCTATGTGGGAGAATCTGAACCATTCTATAGATCTCAAAACTTAATATCCTAATATCAAATTACAAGCATTTTTTCAGAAGTATTTGGGATTTTTTGAATCATGAAATTGCACATGGCATCTCAAAGATAAATTGTATTTCCATTGAAGATATTTTTGGAAATATTTCACTGAAAATTTCACATTTTTAAAAGATTGAACATTGGAAGACTTTTGTGTTACATCTGGGCTTTTGGTGTGTAAATATTTCTTGGGTAGTAGAAAAAGTTGTACCATTATTATACAAGCCATTTTTAAAGATTCCAGGGCATTGATCCATTCCTTAATAAAATATATTTTGTACTTTCAAGTCTATTTAACTTTGAATTCTTCACAGGGAACATGTGCAGTATTAACAGGATATGCAAATTTTATCTTTCTCCAAAATTTAAAGATTCGAGGACAATTGAAACATTTTCAAAAAGAGCACAATATAGAAAATTCTCAACATGGAATATTGGCTTGGCAAGATGCATTTCATTTCTTGAGACACAAACTTAAAAAGTCAATCCATGTTTTCAGCATGCAGTCATATTCTCCATTCATGGACAATTATTGAAATTCAATTATTGTAAGCTAATTCATGCCTGAAAAGCGAAGTGTTTCGGTTAATTGCTGGAAGAATTTTCAAATGATCAACTTCAAGTTGAGCGTTAAGATCTAAAAAAATTTATCTCCCAGGAAAATTTAAAATTTATTAATAAATTTGAAATTTATTAATATAATTTAATTTCATTTTCAAATAAATTTGGCTCAACTTTCATTAGGGCATGAATTTTTAGCAACAGCATGAATATGACAGCACATTTCTGATTCATGAAAAACTAAAGTAGAGTGGTATCAAAAATAATGGACTCAAGATTGTTAGTAATATTTGCTCAACATAATATTCATATAAAATAGGAGGTTCCTGCTCTGGATAATCTAATGCATGGAAAACCAAGGTTTTTGTGGAATAATTCCAGAAAATTTTGACTCAAATCTGCATTGTTTGGGAACAAAACTTTTGAAACGGTAATATTTTAAGGATTACAGTTGAATATAATTTTTAAAAATGTGTTTTATAGATTGGTCTTAATTGAAGTGTCAGGAAGGTACTTCGTATAGAGTAACCGAATAACCAAAACACTTTCTATTATGGCTCATTGGCATTATCAGTCAGAAAAGAGTCTAATTTAACCAAGGCTCCACTTGTCAAATGCTCTTTTCACCTCAAGATACCCCATTTCACAGAATAAATGCCATAATGATGTTCAATCATCCCACCCAAAAGTCTATGATACCCAGCACAGGCACCTTCCATCACCCACATAATGAATCATCATGGCGGATCCCTGTCATGCATGCACAGCAGTATATATACACAAGGCATGCAGGTACATAAAATGGTCTGATAAAGCCCCAAGCAGCCATTTATATCATTATTATTATTATCATCATCAAGCACCACTCTTCCACCACTTATTATCAAATGAATCTGCGTTTTGCAGCAATCATAAGGAGGATAAAAAAAAAGAAATGATGGAAATCACACACATATGTATGACATGAAAGACAACGTATATATATATTTATATGTGATAGTTGTTTTTTCCCCCATATAGTTCAACAAAAGTTGGGAAAGGATTAAGTATTTATGTTCTTTCTCTCTCTGGTCCTCCCTTTCAGGAAGGAATACAGGATAGAGTAAAATAGCTCAAAACTTCCTGACCAATATAGTGTTTTTAAATTTCCTTTAGGGTCCCCAGACTAAGCAGAACTGATGAATTTGAACTAATTTTAAAACATGTCATAAATATAAAAGGGAAACACCAGAATTCCAAGTACTTTACCAAGCAGTACAGTAACTTCATTATTTCAACTGAATTTAATTTCTGTTACATGCACAGTAAAATCTCATATTACAACAAAGCCATTGTGACCCATATAAAATAGATGCTTTTCAAAGTAAACTTTGTTATACATACAGTAACTCATTTGACACATTGTGGCTATATTGGGCAGGAACCTGAAAAAATGACTTATTTGTTGACAGCAATTATAATTGTTGTAACAAGATCCTATACTGTATATACCTTATCAACAAAACAAGGGGAGGGGGAAGAGGGTTATTTCAAGTAGTTATCAACGCTTTCCTATTAATTCATGCATTCAAGAAAAAGAGAGATCGTTGGGAGAGGGGGGGGGGGCGTTAGGATGATGGCAAAAAGAAGAAGTCTTGGGGGGAGGGGGAGGGGGGTGTTGGAAATTCCAAATATAACTGGATTCACGACGACGATAGTGAGTATATACAGTAGTATATAACTATACAGTGAAGGCGATGAGCGAGAAAAGAAAAAGCCCGATAACGTTATCTTATCGAATGAAAAACGGCACCCAGTATACGTAGAGAAAAACGCGCGGATCCCAAAGGAACATGAAATCAGTCTGCGCCCGGCGCATGCGCGGCGATGAGTGCGCCGAGCTGCGCGGGGACTCTTCGGGGGAGCCCCCGTTCGCGTGTGTTCCCTCATCG